ACGGATACAGTTTTCCATGCTTATTTGGTGACGCTTAAAGCTGTCATAACATTCCTGTTGTTCGTGACCATATTTCCGACCCATATGTCGTGACCGCTATTCAGAATTGACGCTACACATCCCTCCTCCAAACAATTACAATATGTGAAAACATTTCGTGACAAAAGTTGAAAACCTGAATCATCATGTTTTTTTTTTTATTATTAAATGCCCACCGTCTGTATTGAGTAGTTTTCCTCCCATAATGAGTAACGCATTTAAAAAAAATAATGAATCCTTTGCATATAAGTGAACCAACAATAGCCGCATGCGGTGTGGCAGATTCAAAGTACAGCTTGTGCTTGCACAATATATTGTGGAATGTATTCCAGAGTTGTAATTTAAAATGTAATATATATTTTTTGCATGCATAACAGACCTACACTCACCACACGCTGTCATTTACAGCAGCAGCAATGCAGCCAAGGGGTTGTCAAGAGGTTGCAAGCTGAAGCCAGGCCCACATAAGCCGCTTCTGTTTTGAGAAGACCAAGGGAGAGATTCGACCCTGGTGGCCGTTTTGTCTGCCTTACAGCTGCCCTTATTGGCGTGCATTAAACGTAATTGCATATTCCCTCCGAGGATAAGGGCATACCACAAGCAGCAGTGTTTCCGCTGCCATTTAGCTCCATCTAGCGCTCACTGGTCAGACACTTGCATTGACTCATTCACGTAACAACGGAGCAGTGGATACAATATGGCTTCCGATGACGGCCCAAGGGCACTACTGGGTTTATTCTTCACGTTTTCAGTCCAACTCTCGTACCTCCGATTAACCGGAAGACGTTCAACATACATACTACAACTCCAGATCATCTCAGTAGAGCCATTGTGTGGGCCACCTTTAAGGAGAGTGAACTTGGGTGGGCCAGAGGGACACCTGTTCGTTCAGGGTGCACCCCAGAACCCAAATACGCCCACCCACCCCGCTTATAGCCTGAACAGTGTTGGGGCAAGTGCTGTTAGCGAACAGTACGCATAGGGGTGGGTGGCCAGCACAACGCCCCGATCGCCTTCGTCTCTCCAGTGGCAATGTTTACGCACCACACCAGGTCTTCATTTGAGGCTGAGCCGACCTAGGGGAGGACCTGGACCGGCTCAGATATTCGTCGCTGGTGTTGGTGGCCATGAGCGGGAATCGAAACCGGTTCGCTGGGTTCGTAGCGCAGCGCCACTAACCGCTACACGACCGTTCCCCACCCTCAATACCCCCTACCACCCAGACAGATTTCCCTGGAGGCAAGGCCAGGTGTAGCCGTGTGGCCAATAGTCTGAACCATTCACCTTTTAACCTTGGGGTGTAACAGGGTATGTCCTGTCGCTCCTACACTTGCTTAACATATTTTGTTTTGTTCATCAAATAGTTCAATGAGCCTTTTGTGGCTGTACCGGTGGAATGTCCATCTAGTGCGGATACAGTTCACTCATCTTATTTACGCCTGGGTATGGTCAAGGGATGGCTTACCTCCTGGTCGACCCTGTTCGGATATCCTGATGACCTGGTAATTCAGGATCGCTCTGAGGAGCTGGAGATTGTTCCTCGAGCTAGAGGTTACCACAAAGCGGTTGGGCCTTACCATCAGCCCCACCACAATAAGCTACCTATCTGGGTACTGTGTCATTATGGGAACCTCATTTGCCAGTAAAAATATGATAATTGTTTTTTTACCCTTCTATCTGGCAACAAAACTGACACCTTTTTACAAGGAGTCATGTTTGCATAGACCGCAATACCTGCAGTCATAATACAAACAAAAGACATAACTCTGATAATGTGCACTGTCCTTGAAGTTGATTGGTCCACACCCGAGACAGCTTTTCTTAGAGCCTAGTCTCACATGGGTTGGACCGGATGACGCCAAAAGGCGCACGGTGTGGACCAATCACCTTCAAGGACAGTGCACATTATCAGAGTTATGTTCTTTTGTTTGTATTATGACTGCAGGTATTGCGGTCTATGCAAACATGACTCCTTGTAATAAGGTGTCAGTTTTGTTGCCAGATAGAAGGGTAAAAAAACAATTATCATACTGTGTCATTACTAAAACTAAACTTCCTTCATGAGTAGCAGGGTGGTTCTGGAGAGGGTGGAGTTCCCATACTTAAAGCAGCGTGCCGCCGATGGCTAGCTTCGGCTTGGCAGCGGCTCTCACACCACGTCAATCGAGCAGCATTATCTATTCATTGGCTGCATGGATTTGCCAACGACGGACGCTGTTGGAACCAGTCGTCGGCAACTGGGGGGGAGGCTCATGAAGGATTGCTACTGGGCAGTTGGAAGGCAGAGGAGTGACATAATGGAGTTGGCAGTGAGGAGTTTAGCTTGCATATCTGCCAGTCAACCCATAATGTCCCTAGACCTTTTACTAGAAAAAATAAAACATTTATTTGGCCCTCTTTGTTGTGATAATTTTGTTTTTTGTGCTTTTTTTTGTGCCATTTCTTAAAGTTTAATCTTTTTTTTTCGATGGTAGGGTTTTCATTTGCTTGGTAGTAGCTGTATATACGATTTAGTCCTTGCATTATAATTCATGTGCAGCGTTATCGGATGCTATTCGCATGCATGATGTGATATCAAATGAAAGTATGCATGTTCACCTACTCTGGAAAAGTGTTGTGGCGATGTCGCCTCCATTTAGTAACAAATGGCAGCTGTTTGGTGCGATCAGTAGAAAACCCCATATCACCATTACCTCTGGAATTTATTTTAAAATGTAAAGCATTTAATTATTGAGAGAATGCATTTACAAAGATATCCGACTCGTTGCGAAACCACCCAGACAGACTGCGCATCGTTGTTCTTAGGTTTCACTTAGCACCTCCGATTAGCACGGATGGGTACGTACGGTGCGAAAGAAGTTCAACAAATGCAGTTGACCAGATTATATTTTATAAGTGAAACTCATTGACCTTTATGCAGCATTGCATTTGCAATATTTCTTGCAATAAACATACATCGACTAGTTTGAACACACATAGAACACTAATTGTAGATTTCCACGTGTAGTTAATGAAATCATCCTTGAGATGACTTATTTGAGTAGAACATAGTGCACGCGTCACGAGACCAAATGTGCAGGACACCCAGATTTGCTCACAGGTGACACTTGCTGGTTAATTTGAATGCACACCTGTTGAGTGGGAACGCCCGCCACGTTCTGGAATGAAATATACAGGGCTTGAACATGACGTCAGCCCGAGCCAAGAGGTTCATAGCACAGCATGCGAACGAACCCATTGCTTCACCACGGCCCCCAACCCCACAAAGTCTACGAATTCTAACAACATCAAAGGGAGTTACCTCCGCTTACATAACATGACAAACCTAATCATTTCATGCCATTCTACGCGTGCATCTGCACCTGTCTGAAAACTGTTCTCAACAAATTGTTGCTAACACTGCCGTATAAATGGAAATGAATAACCTAATAATCACCGGACATTTTCAACATTGGGTGTTTTACATCATTGGAACCTATTGTTTTTTACCCTTTTATCTGGCAACAAAACTGACACCTTTTTTGGCGTCATCTGGTCCAACACCATGTGAGACTAGGCTCTAGGAAAAGCTATCTCGGGTGTGGACCAATCAATTTCAAGGACAGTGCATACATTTTCAGAGTTGTGTTTTTTGTTTGCATTCCGACCACAGGTATTGTGGTCAATGCAAACATGACTCCTTGTAAAAAAGGTGTCCGTTTTGTTGCCAGATAAAAGGGTAAAAAAAACAATTATCAATTATCATTGGGTGCTTTGTTGCTATCATAACGCCTTTTTATCACACGCTTTTATTTAACTCACTGTCTGTTGTCGTATCCTCAAATCTTGTAACTCAATTTTAACCTACTTCCAAATGTCGTATCGACTGCAAACTTGGTATACGTATGTCATACTGGTGACAATACTATATTCTATCATTGAAAATAAAAAAAAATCTATTTTTAAACAATATTTTTTTATATGTTATGTTTTGGCTTCGGTCTAATTGTCCACGCTCAACTGACGTTGGCTGTAAATCACCACGGCCCCTTACGTTATGGGAAGCCTCGGGGTCACTTCCTGGAGTCGTGGAGTTCTGCCATTACGTGTACGGTACATTTCATTAAAGCGTGTTTTTTGAGTAATTCTAAATATTATTTTTTATTCCAATGTGTTTCTAGTATTGAAAGGCAACACCTTGGAATGTCAGCATGAATGAAAATCTCTAAGTTATACAGGGTGTTCCAAAAAGATGGACCCAATTTCAAAGCAGTATATTTCACGATGGCAACATGTTACAATTACACAAAAAGTTACAAACGGTTAATGAGTTATCAAGGTTTGCTAACCATTTTATAAATGCTTTATGTGGCCTCCACCTGCTGTACAGACAACATCGAGACAATAGTTGAATTCGTCCCAAACGCCTCTCAAAGTGTCTTCTTCCACTGAAGTCACCGCTGCCGTGATTCTTTTTATGAGGTGTTCCAGATTAGCCAGGAATGGTGGCACAAAAACACGGTCTTTTACGCATCACCAAAAGAAAAAGTCGCAGGGTGCGATGAAACGTACGCTGCACCGCAATTACGGATTCAGTCTTGCTGAACTGCAGAACGCAAAACGCCGGGAGAGGCATCTAGCGGTAATCATTTTAAACTCGATGCCCCGCCCTTTCAAGTGGTAAGAGTTTCATTCATGGGCGGTTCGTGGTTGCAGAGATATAGCGATTTCTAAATCAGGTCCATCTTTTGAAACACCCTGACATTAAGTAACACCAAAACAGGTATACAAAAATTCGAAGGTTATTGCCGACCTTCACAATCTTAACACAACGCGTTATTTGTAAAAGATATCACCATCGCATACATTTTATATTTTCAAGTTTGTGATTATGCATTGATAAAGAATTCTTGGAAGAAACATTAGTTCCCAAAATGTACAAAAGAAACAAACAAATGTTCACATAGCGCAGTAAATTAAAGATTTCTTTTTATTTTATTTTCAAAGTGAATACATAAAATCTGTAAATAAGGAGCTTATGTCGGAATCCGTGAAACCGTGAAGGTGTGAGTTCCTTTCTGCTCCAAACACGCGACATCCATCCCGTGCAGCGCAACTCGCAATGACGAGGCTAAACCTTCCGTACGCGTAAGAATTTGAGAAACATAAATTAATGCATTTACGAAAAAATAGCTATAACAATGCTGTCAGATAAACAGGGCGTTAGTGAAGATATTTATATATATTTCCCAATATATAAGTAAAGCTATACAGGTAACCTAAGGATTAATCCTTAGTAATGAAAGGTGTGCAAAATGCACGTTTAAAACATTACACAAGCTTCAATAATAACATGGCTTAAACTAAACCACGTACTCGTACAATAAATGTTGTGTTTCAAAATGTTTTTTTTTCTCAACTTCGTTTTATTGCTTTACAAATAGGGAACAACTATAAATGTGTTACATTCAAATATATATTACAAGAAGGTAATTACCGGAAAACGGTAAGAATAGGGAAATACTCTACTGAGTGATGGGGACATATAGGAGATGAAAACCATAAAGTTATTGCAGAAACAATTGAACAATTGACTGCATTTAATTGTGCATTCATAACACTTTCTTTAAGTGGAAACACTTAGTGTGTAAAATAGAACATTGGTTTAGGGTTGCCATTAAAATGGTAGAACTTTTTGAAAAAAAGGGCCGTTCCAGCATTTGGCTAAAGTTACACTGTATTTACTGAAAAGCATTGACATTATAACAGCATTTTAGATTTCACCTTAAAGAGAAGCATTACTATTTGGCCCACTGGTATTTTACTTGGTTAGACAAGTTTAAAACGACACATCTGTAAATTGTAATAACATTATATAGCATGTGTTAAAAATAATTGTAACATGCAAGCAGCGCTGGAACTGCCCTTGTTCACCAAAATTGCTGAATGTTACCAACCCTATACTCATGTTAACAATACTGTCTACTTAAAGCAACACCTGTGCATTTTAGCATTGACGACAACTATGATTCATCTTACAATGTACAAACATCTTAACGCATAGCATTCTTTCATGGCGAATAAACAGAGTTGAAATAAAGGAGAGAGAAAAAAAAGACAATACGTTTCCCTCCAAGTTTGAGCCATACAAGGTGTCATACTTTTTGGACACTGAAAATGCAATGTCTTTACGGCTTTCATCCATCAGAAACTGCACCTACTCAAATTCTCCAAATATAGATTTCAACATACACTATATAAACCTTTTATAAATATTATCATCCCTTGTCATAACCCTGCAATAATCTGTAGGGTTTCCTTCCCATGATTTATACTTCTAATTGCCAAGTGCTGCAAAAGCGAGCATGACAAATTATACTTTTGAAAAGCCTTGTCTGGTAGTGACTGTGTAAAATTTAAAATTAGCATGCAGCATATTAATTTTCGGACTTTAAAAAGTGTATTTTTTGTCATCTTATTGCCTTCCACATTTCAATTTGCAAACCACTTGTTGGACCGAAAAGATGCATGTACATTCTTGGGAAACACAAGAGGGCATCCCTGAGACGCGGGAGATGAGTGATCACACGGTCTAATTGGTTTGAGATCTAAACACGTAACCATGTATGAAATTATTGGTGCAAGTGCTATAAAAGTTAAGCGTTGTATGATGGAAAAAATATATAAAAGCATTGTAATTAAAAGGCGTTGACATTTTCACTGTTGTGCTAGAACAAAATGTTGTTAGATGCATTAAAAAAGCCAATATTTTACATATCAGGACTAACTGAAATTATATTTTCCATCACAATACTGATTATAAATGTGGATGAATACATTTTGAAAGTCCCAATACTATGGTGGACTTGTGGAGGAAACAAGTTGGGTATTTTGCAAAGGGCATTAAGGGACTGCAATTTTTTTTGTAATATGAACTTTGAGTGCTTAGTAATACTGAATGTCAGTAATTAAAATAAAAACAAAAATACACGTTACAGGTAAAAAAAAAACTCAAGCTTTAAAAGGAAAGTGCAAAGACCATATTAAGGGCAAGTCAAATGAGAAAAAGTGGGTGCTTTTGGCACCAAACCTACCCAAGAGCATACTTGATTGTCTAGAGTAAAAGTATGTTATTTACATACAAAACTTTAATACGCTGGAATATTTCATTGAAAATTATTTCACACTCCAAAGTTACTGTTCTCTGCACGATGTTGGACATTATAACGGTTGAATCGTCAGATCCAAAAAAAAAGATTTTGGCATTTTAAAAAATGTATTTAATTTGTTATATAAAAGAAAAGTAACAAGATATAAATTATGGGCCATTGAGACAGCATTACACGCAAGAGTATGAATTGTGCAGTAAATGGGAAAACCATGAATATAGGGCTTTAGTCTAATGCCTTGCACATTTTAGCGTTAGAAACACAAGCAGCATATAAAGGTTAAGCAATGAAATGGTCATACACATCCCTACTTCAATCAAAAAGGACTATCCCTGAGAAAGGCTAGAGGTTACGAGATCTGTTAAAAGGAACCTTCGAAATGTCACCACTACAAACCAACATCACAAAGATCTATAACAGGACACATGAAAACAAAACCATTTTCCTTCAATATATTATTTGTGTTGCTTGCACAAAACAATACAACAATGGGATTCTGTCACCTTACATCGCTACAAACCCACACTAACTTAACCATCAACATCACTAATCTCTCAGCCGAGAACCAAAGACGAAAGGATGAGTTGAACACCAATACATATTACAATAAAAAATAATGCTCTTAAAACAGTGAATTCTTGTAATTTTTCCACAAACCCAAATTATTTACTTCTTTAATTCAAAGGTAGAGAAGAGATACTTCAATTCAGGTATACAGCAAGACACCTTAATAATACCATTCTTACTTTTCCCATGTTCAAAATAAACACTAAATGCTACATAGTTGTGCTGGAGGCTTAAAAAAGTACTATACGCAAAAATATATAATGCAAAATTACACGTTAAAACGTGTTTGGCTTTATTCGAGGAACCAAGAGACATAGGATAAAAAAACACTAATGAAAAATATTACTTTAAAAGCCAGCAATTGTATAAGCTTTCCTTCAATGGGTTATTGCTACCGTGGGGAATTTAATGTCTAGTGAGACAGTGAAAAAATCATAATTTTGCTCGATGAATTCCTTTATCATTAAATGTATTGTCACTCTCCCTGAGACTATGACCCAGTTAACACATACACACACCATTCATTAAGTCGAAATAACACAAATCTGTATACATATGCATACAGAATTATAAACACTTAATAATTGTACACACACAAAAGCAATCAACCCAGGCACAAATTGATGAACGCATACCATGTAAGTATGCGTTGCTATGTACATAATGGGATTTGAAATTACGAACGAATGTGAACCATCACGTTATTTTCGAAAAACAGTGATTGTGATGATATACTACTGGTACGTATACAAAGGAGTCTCAGAAAAAAAAGTGTCAAAGTACAGAGAAGACATTAAAGGGAACATGTCAACAAATCGGGACTTGAACACTCCCATTCATTCATTCATTTTTCTACCCACCCAAACAAAAAAGGTGCTCAAGCACAAATATAGATGCAACTCACATCTGTATAGTCCCCAAATGTATATCTAGACAAAAAATACTATTGCACTAGGGAGCAAGGAGCAAATAATGTGTGCAAAAATGTTTTTAAAGGGAAAAAAATAACAAGTAGCAAATCATGAAGGTTACTCTACGTATGCGGCATCCAATAGTACATCGACATATATATAAATTGGAACGCTGTCTTCAACACGTAAACAATTCCACACTGCCACCAAGCCACCACCACTTCCTTTTCTCATGCTGGAATGTTTGCAGAGCACCACCAATTAGCCACCACCAGACACTTTAGCAGAAGCATGTGCGCAATGTCACTTTTTTCATCGTTATTTTCATTATTGTATTTTTTTTAAAAGGCGCACATCCAATTGACCTACCAAAGTAGTGAAGCCACAATACCAAATGTAACGTGTACTCAAAAATGTATAGATGCACTTATAAACCTGGGCCGGATTGGGTTATATAGGGCATACGAATGATCAGTTCTTCCAATTGTGTGTACAATTATACACGCAAATACAATTGTATTGTCTGTCAAATCAAAGTCCCTTTTTTGGAAATTTAACGTGGATAATGCATGCAATAAAATTGTATTGTCATTTTACTCTTAAGTCACCAGTTATCAAAATTTGCTCACAGACCAAAATAATAAGCAGTTAGGTATGCAGATGGTGGGAGAAAACACATTGGCGTTTGTGAAAGTTTCGTACAGTATTTGGTACATTTACGCACAAAAATATACTCTTAAAAATTTGAATGCACAATACATCTTACAACGTTTTACCCAAAATATAAGGTGTCTTCAAAAAAAATACACACTTTTCAAAAATGCGTAAATCTCATCAGCACGATTGTATCCAGACAAGGCTTTTTGACATGTCTCTGCTCTTCATAACCATTGGAACTTTTAGTGCGGATGCCACAAAGACGAGGATCAAGTGTAATACTATAATTTCCAGGTTACAAATTAAATAAGAATCCATAAACCATTTCAACTCTTAGTGCGGGTGTCACAAAGACAATGGTGAAGTGTAACACAGCAATTTCCAGGATACAAATCAGAATAAAGTATTGTTTTCTTAATAATCTACTTTGAATGCCCATGCTAATAAAACGCTTGTTTTAGTTACATACTAAAACAATTACATATAAGAAAATACATAACTTTACAGAAAATAGACGTGCTGTTTTGTTTATGTAATTTTTACAGTTATGAACTGACTGCATTGTTTTTCAGTTTGAGTCTAATATCCACACTTATATCATTATAATCAACGATCATAACCGTTCAAATTCGTGAGAATATTAATGGCAACATTTTCAAGATTTGGAAAATTGGTTTAACAATGTGCAATAAAATATCAAGGGCTTAAAAGTACTGGCACCCGTCTATATACATGGATTAAAATGTACCACTTTAAAATATATTATCCTGTTTGTAGTAATTTTAGTAACGCGTTTGTTCTACATACTTTGCATGGAAAGAATATTGTAACTTCAGATTTTTATAAACGGCATTTGAAAATTGAGAAACGTGCCACGGACATTTGAGTGTTAAGCGACTTGCGTGCCGTAACCAACGGTGGGACACATTATGAACAAATGTCCACTTGCAGCGTATGCCAGGAGCACAAGTGGTATACGTCCACTGAGGCCATCAGCTGGATATACAACTTCGCCGTCAATTTATAGTTGGTACTCAATTCATATCCATACGAAAGAGAGTGTTACACTTCTCCATTAAAATGTACAGCCTCAAATAATTAGGACAAATGTAGGAACGGAATATCACAAATACAGGACTATTCGTAAATAAAAAGGACATTCAACCACGGAAAGAAAAAAAACAACAATTGATTGTCAACACTGTAGCCTTTCTTAAAGACTTCCACTCTTGCAAAGATACATTCATCTCTTCGCTTCATTTACCCTGAATCCAACAGTTATAGCGTCTTGTTTTTTTCCCCCCCAAGAGTAATTTCTTGAAACCAATAAAATATACATTTCAAGTCTTTTAAAATCTAAAATTGCCATACCACACTGATGCCTGGTGAGTGCTAAAATGAATATATACAGCCCAGTTTACACATTACTTTTTTTATGACATGACTGTGATCGGAGCCAAATCCTTTGGCTCTTCATAACAGGGACGGAGTTAAGTGCTTATTTTGTTAATGTTAAGGTTATAATGCTTTAAGCAATTAAAGGGAAACGACATTTGTTTTTATTTTCACTCTAAAATTATACAAAATATAGTGTTTGTAGTGCCTAAAACACATCAGGTGTAAAATACTATCGCTTTAAACTATCAGTAGTTTGTTCAAAGTTTGAGAAAACAATTTAGCATGCATACACTGCATGAGATTCAGGCCAATCTTCCAGAAGCCTCCACTGGCTGAAAGAAAACAAAATACACTCATGCAGCTTGGAATTAATGTGCAATTTATACTATACTTGTGTTTAGTGTGCTGCGATAAAATAGTCAAATCACAGGGTTTACGTTTTTCAAAATAACGTTTCGCATAAAACGCGTTACGACTTGTCAAAAACATACCATATACCTGGGTATTTCCAGATAACGTGAACTAAAATGGCAGGAATTTGTGTTAGAATGTTGTTATTGGTTCTGCTGGAAATTTATTGCTAAGTGCACACCACCAATCCGGGTGGAGAATGCTCATCAGTAGAGGCTTTACTGCTTGTAGAAAATATTTTCATGTTGATGCTTAGTTTGTTGTTGTTGTCGTTTTACATTTACCACACCCTGCTGGTCAGTTGTTGAGCATCACACTTTGTATAACTTCAGCAAGCTGAGGCTTTATGTGAAGCGACGCTTATCACTAAAGTTCAAGTTTTCGTAGAAAGTGGGACACAGGTGAAATATAGTGAAGTCAAGCACGGCTTCTTGCTACAACACAGCATGTTGTCGCTGTGCATCTTGTTACTGAATATTTTCTTTTAGCAAACCGGCAGTAAGATTCCTCGTCATTGGCTCTGGTACCCATCCATTTAGAATGGGAAAAAAATGGGACCAATGGGAAGCTGGCCTCACAAGAGATTTCGCAAGAAAAGATTGATTAGCGATGATACCTTGGTTCATGTTGCACACCGGAATTAGAAAAAAAAAACGAGTTCATTTCAGTTATGTGGAAATCCTGATGATGAAAATTAAGTTTTACCCCTTCTAAAAAGAATGGTGCACACCATGAAACCAGTGTAGATACTAATCTTGTTGTGCTTCGTTCAGATAGTTGAGTGAACTGAAACGCGCCAGCCTTTAAATAATCCATCATTAGATCTGAAACTCCTACTTCATGGAGTGCATCCCACCCTAAATGCTTTAGAGCCATGGATTAACATCACATTGGTGGAATATCCATTACATCTCCAATAAATGCAGTGGATTGTTGGCTCAAAACAATTTAAGATGGGGCAGCTCTAAATATTTTTTCCTGAGCTCCCTCGAAACTCACCTGCAGCACTGAGCAACGGACCCTGTTATGTCGAAATATTCCTGATGGTTTTGGTTGCGAAAATGCGAGGTAACTTCAGCTTGAGCCAGCTGCCGATAGTTTCTATCATGATAAACTTCACAGCAGAAGTGCCTTTGCAATCCTACCTTCAAACAATGCTCTGGTGTGCATCTGTATCATCCGTTGATTGCATTTGTGTTCGCGTTGTGACAGCCACTCAATTGTCCGCTAAGCACTGAAGACCACTTGAAAAAAGTTGACTTGCAGTGTGAAGATGGGGGTGGGGGGGGTGGTGCGAGTGGCTTCCATCAATATTAACGCCTGGCTGAGACCACTTTGACATAGCGAGGGGAATGGCTAGGATTGAAGGTGGGTACAAGGAGGGACGAGGGAGATCAAGAGTGGGCTGTGAAATACACAAGCAACCGGTGTTGGATCCCATGTGCTATTGCTTCAGGTAGCTTCTGAGCCTCGACTCAAAACTCATGTGCCGCATGCCGAACGGTGTTCATAAAACCCCCCCGCCAGCCCTCCCCAACCAATGTCACGTGCAGACAAGCAGCACTAGCAGCAGCAGCGGCGGCAGCAAATGACAGTGGGCATCAGTTCCCGTTGGCTGCTGAGCCAGGCTGCAACTGCTGGATGTCAGAGCTGAAGAGCTCCTTGTAAAGAGGCGGGAAGTGGGAGTGCACTATATCCTGATGACCCTCTCGGAACTCCTGAAACTTCTCCATGTGCAGCGCACACACCTGTCGTAGGACTCCCACCTTGGGCAGCAACTGTACACGCAACAACAAAACCAACACCAAATGTTGACCTGAATTTTGCATGGCATTACGTTCATGCGATTGTAAATCGAGCAGCGATGCGTACGAGCAAACATTTGCGGGACATTGGGCCATCGTAAAATGCTAATATTTCAACTGCTGTCATTTAAAATTGTGAATTCGGAATAATTTTACAAAAGCAATTAAATTTGGTACACATTGAATCATAATTCAGGAGACCGTGTACTACTTCGTGAATTAAACTATTTTCTCAAGCAAATGTTTAAAAAGGTATAGATTGTGCAATAACTTTGCATAAACTAAAGTTGATTTCAGCGTTTCCCTGTTTAACATTGCTGCAACACTGTGGGGAAAACGTTGCATGAGGCTCTGCAGTACACAACCTCATTCAAAACAGATGACTAAATACAAATGCAAGCACTTTATTGATTTAAATAAGCAATTCAAGCATGAAAACAATGGGCAACAAATTTGCTTTGTTAAACATTGGATGTTGCGCATTAAATGAGCAATGCACAAAGTTACACGAACAAAAGATGCATCCTTAAAATTCAGCATTAGAATGCTTCCTGTGTATTAACTGCGCAAGTTTAACTGCGTCGATTTTAATTTTAATTGCTTAATCTTGAAATAAAAAAAAGATACTGGATCACATTGCCCACAGGATTTGAACACATGCTCTATAAACCAGTAATATATATTGGAATGTAGACCAACCTTGTTGAGCATGTTGTCATTCATACGATGCTTGCAAACCACATGCCGGAAGGCAAGGTTAATTTTTTCTGCCAGCTTCTCCACCTTTATTGAATCCTGCAGCCATTGCCGGTCTGATGGACAGAAAATAAAATGTCAGGAACTGTTATCAGTGGCGTATAAGCACAGGCTTAAAAACGCTATAGTGCTGCTGTCACTGGCATTGCAAAATCCTAAAATATATATTTCAAGCAACGGCCCTTCTCAAAAGCACAAGGGCATTGCTTAAACCTGAGCTTATCACGTATATTTTCAGCTACAAAACAGTGTTGATGATGGCTGTTTTAAGCATTTGGCATTGGACAGTGCTTGCTTTCAATTACGGTATCTATTTATTACTCCCTCCGTCACCTTATGTACTTGCTAATGAAAAGGATTAACCCCTTCATCTTTAAGCCCAAGTGACAATTTATGTGAAGGTGTGTAACATAAGTATCATTGAGTGTTTTGCACCACAACATTACATTAGGCAGATGACATTTCAAGAAAGGTTTAAAACTCGAAAATAAACCTCCATGGAATCAAACTTAATTTTACAGTTAATGTTCATGTGTTATGCGGCAATATTTTTTAACATAACAGACTAGGGAAAAACTAAGACAAAACAGCCTTGACAAAATTGCAAATACCGAAACCCATTAGTACACCGTATCTTGGCCATCTCTATGGTACATGTAGCAAACCAAAATATGAAGACAAAACCTACAGCATTAATGTTTAATTTTACACAAAATAACACTTAAACTTGATTTTTTTAAATTATGGATTAAAAACTATTTAAATCATTTTTCGATTTAAAGCTTTCGTGGCTGCAGGGATTCATCTTCTTGGTTATTTCGGTAAAGTCACGTAGAAGGGAAATAATAAAATAATAAAAATAAAACAATAAAATAATTCTCACGACGTTTCGGCCACAACGGCTGCTTGCGTTGTGGCCGAAACCGTCATGAGAATTATTTTATTACATCTAAATAATCCCAAAATAAATAAGCACATTTCACTGAAATGGTATGCTGAAAAGGTTCCCAAAAATCCTTGCCTTCTTTTGTGAGCACATAGTTAACATGCAATAATGCACTGAAATGTAAAAGGTGTTCAAACACAAAGCGTGCAGAGCCACAAAAGAAGACGGAGGGAGGTGAAAATTACTCCTCACCGGACGAGACGAGCACAGAGGCCGAGAAGAGAGCAATGTCCTCCTCCTTGAGTTGCATCGCGCAGAGGCTCTTGGCCAAGTCGAACATGGCAGTAATCAGGTCATCGCAGCCTGCATGTAACACGCAGCCACATACGCACGTATCACTTTGAAATCTCACGGTGGAAGATCAATGCAAGTCAAAAATAAACCTCTGTGAATAGCAACATAAGCCCTTGGCCTAGTGAACCTCTGCATGTGCCTTGATCCTTTGTGAGGTGCCTGTGGCACTTTTTCCTTTAGGGCATTATACAGTGACTAACAATTTAAAGCATATGATTTAAAGGGCTGGTTAGTATATGACACTATTACCTGGTAACCTGAGTGCACTTCTCAGCCACGTATGCTATCTGTAGCAAGTAATATGTAAAACCGGTCCGGGCTGCTACCCACCCCTTCCCCAATCCACACTGACCAGCAAAGTGAAGTATGGTCAAAACAACCTTCACAACAGACACAGCGTGGGTGAGGCCTTTACTCAGCAGTGGCTTGACAAACAGTTGTACGTTATGATAATTATTTAGGGAGGCACAGTTGTGACATTTGTGCCTCACAACCAAGACGGCCTGTGTTCTATTCCCGACCCGGGTGCTTTTCAGCATACTGTTCGGATGTTCTCCCCCTGTTTCTGCATGGGTTTTCCCTGGGTTCTCCGGTTCCCTCCCATTGCTTAAAAAAATCCTCCACAATATACCTGATATGTTGAGAAGACATGACAATGCCAAAATATACTTGAAATTGACTCAATTGTGATCGCGTTTAGCAACATCACCCGCTAATGGCAAAAGTTGGCAGGACCCTCGTGCTAAAGTCTTGGAGACTCGGCGAGGCTTTACTTGGTAAACAAGTGTAGGAATAACAACGTACGCTTATATGCACTTTATAAAAACACAACACATTCGAAGACAATAATGCCTTAAAAATAAATTGTATGCAAGAGCTAACTTTTCGGGGAGTGACAGCACATCAATGGCCCTAATTCACAGCACTGTGAAGAAGGTCCACGGACTGAAATGTCACCAATTGCATACTTTTCTTATTCACATATTTCTATGTTAGGCAGTGTTATTCACAAATGTGTTGAGTTTTATTGTTTGTTAATTGTACTTGTGCACCACTACTAATGCACTCACCAAGTACCCTGTCTTATTATGATTATAAAACATAATATATACTGCACATTAATTGTATAATTTATTATACAAAAAACATCCGGTGCATTATATTTCTACACTACTCTGCACAGAGACCACTTTGACCTGAACACATATTACAGGGACATCCATAGGAGTAAATTGCACTTACCTAACGATTTAAAAAGCTGAATGCCACCATATTTTCCATCAAAGAGCACTGTGTTATTGTGTGGATTAAACACTCGGCACATCCTTATCAACACCACCTCCAAGCACCCTGCAATACACAACACAATAAAATCAATTTCATCACGGACAGTGCAATAACAAGGCATGTGATTTTATTTGAGGGAAAAAAAGCACGGGCAATTTTTTTTTATATATATATAAAGCACGGCAAAAAATGTTTTACTTTCCACAAAGAAAACATTAGCGAGTTTTTTTTATCCATGCAGTCACTGCATCCATGTAAAATATCAATTACAAACTATTATAAACTAAATATCAATATAGAAATAAAGTGCTTTCCTATTTTGTGATCGACTTCTCAAAGCTGTGCACAAATATCATATATTGCAAGAGCATTGCTTGTGGTGTATGAAGATCCTTTTTGTAGGAATTCACTATTTACCGACACTGTCTAAACAAACCCTTGTTTGCACTGCAGTGTTTGATAGATATATATAGCTTCGTACCAGCTTTGAGCAGGATGATCTGGTCATTCTGGCAGAGGTCCATGAAGCCATCAATGCGCTTTGCAAACTCCACCACATACTGGATGGCGTTGGTGACCTGAATGGCACACTGCTGCCACATCACCTCCAGAGGCTGTACGTACAAACAAAATGACAATGTCAATACATTTCAAACATTTTTTATGCAAACATTACACATTTAAAATTATTAAATGTCCAGCCACATAATAACAAGTAGAAGGCAAACATAACTGTCATACTCATATTCCCAACCAAAATACATGCATTTGATTTAAACAAGCATTCTGGCATTAATTTCATAGATGGGGAAAAAACATTGCAGAATACAAACATAACTTCCACAATAGATAAACCATGTCCAATTCGGTTTACATTCAGAATTTTACAAACAATAGTGTAGCATAAACATTCAGTCAAAGGGCCAATAAGCCTCATTGCCCTCCAGACTAATTGCAACTTCTGCAAAACACCGTTACTCACCTGACTCTGGCAAACCTTGACTTCCTCATAGGAGTATGTTTGCCATGCCAGCCTCTGCAACTCCGCTGTTGAGTACTGACACGTCTCATTGTGCGACCGTACAATGTTCTGGGCAAGGTGTTCTGCAAGGCCCGACAGCACAGAAACATGTTTAATTATGTGCACAATAACCACCAGATTAATAAAATAACCCAACCAATGTTAATAGTCCCAAGTGGACACAAAGACAAAATTTACCACGAGAGAAAATGTATTTCATGGCGAAGCTAATGGAAAGGTTTGGTGAAAAAGGTGTTGGTATCATCGTGATGCAGCTATAACTGCGCCTGTTAAATTAACATTTTATCAGACAGCTGACCCTCATTGAACAATTTAAAAGTAGAATCTCGTGCAAATGGCAGACTTGGAGTTAAGAATTTAACCAGTATTTACGAAAACAACAATATAACAGGGCCGCAATGACAGTTCCAACTTTTGAGACCAAAAGAACACATTAAGTTAATTTATCTGATTATCTTTAACAAATGTTATCAGATACAATTGTAACATACCAATTTCACTGGTTGGTGTTTTCCCACTGCCGTAGTGGCCATTGCAAAAAGCACTGGCCAAGAATTCCAGGTCGCACGTAAGGTCACCATTAAGGTCATATGTCATGCCAACAGCACCGTTGTTGGCGGTGGCAGACACCACGCACGGTGCTGTGGCCACGCCTGAGCCAGGCTCCTGCTTGATCACCAAACTCCGGGGCCGGTTACCATCTATGTCCAAACCGGACTGGTCCGGAGATGGCTGGCCTGACGCCGAACCGGACCGCGACACGGAGCCCACAGAGGAGGCGGACGAGTTGGAGCTGGGCGGAGTGCTTGTGTCACCGGAGGCTGATGGGAAATAGCAGCTCATCATCATGTCACCCGCGCTCCCCGCCTGAGAGGCCATCTCTGCCAGCTCTGGCCCAAACACGTCGTTGAGGTCGCTCAGCTCGTGGTCCGGGTCGTGAGAGATGCCACTTCCGCTGCCCAAGCCATTGCCTAACAAGCAAACCAACAAGATCACACTTAAGGCTTGCCGTGTTGACGTTGACTTTGTTATGACGCATGTTTGCCAAACTGTGGATTTGTTATCACTAGATAGTATGCCTCCCATTGTCTTATCTTATAAAGTGTGGTTTAATAAATATATACTCTGGCTACCAAAACTACATTGATCGTAGTCTGAATGCTCCATGTTACAAAGTAGATAAAATGAATGAACATGTAATTCAGGAGTGGCTGTACCGTCACAAAAGGTTCTGGCAGAAGAAAAGCAATAAACATTGATTCATACCAACCCAAATGCAACTCCACACTGTGACCTTCTAAGCAGCATATAGGGGGATACACATTGCTAACAGATGGAAGGTAGTTTCCAGGGTAGACAAAAACCTTAGGTCCCAATGCCTAGCATTTTATTTAACAATATTATTAATTTAACGGTTGACAACACAACATAAACGTTGATAAGAATATTTTTAAAGATTCAAGAAGTAAAACATTCACGTTAATGCAGAGTGGCGCATTGTGCTATTTTTAAAAGGGGTACTCGATGACATCTTTGCAACCTACGTGCAAACGCACCATTAGAGTACGGCGTGAGGGGCTCGGCTTCCCCGTGCTGTTGGTGCTGCTGGTGTTGCTGCAGCCGCTGGTGCTTCTGCACCTCCGCGTACAGGCTGTCCCGCTGCTTCTTTGACATCCGGCCAAACTTTACCGCTGCACATGCATGAACAATAAAACAAAAAATTCACAACGCAAACCTTGATGTGTTATTAAAAGCAGAACTATTAAGTGGTTTAATGAATGTGCGATACGACGACTTTCGAAATGGCAAAAAGCAAAAATTATTTCGGTAACAGGAGGAAGGATGACTCAGTGAGGTGGCGATGAATGTGTCTTTACCATCTCGCGACATGCCGAGGGCCAAGCATTTCTGCAGGCGACAGTGTTGGCAGCGGTTCCGGTTCGTGCGGTCGATCAAGCAATTGCGCTGCCGCGGGCAGGAATATGATGCATTGTTTTGCTGACTCCGCCGGAAAAATCCCTTTTGAGCACGGTGCAATGGAAGGAAAGAGTGGGAGAGAACACGGTATAAGAAAGGTGAATTCGTAACTACACTAAAAGTATATTTCTACGGTAAAAAAAAATTGCAAAGGCAGTTAAACCCATTGTTTTACAAAAAAATGTTGTATCGGGGAATACCCACTCATGCGATAATCAGCAAGAGACAAGATACATGTATTCCCATCAACCCACATTGACCAGTGAGGTAGTCAAGGCACTCAGAAATGTTTTTTTTTTTTACTTTAATTGGTATCACTTTCAGGCGGCATGCGATGTGCCTCTGTATTAGAAGAAATACATTTTACTGTTAGAGAATGTCAATATTATTTTAAAGATGAATTATCAAAAATAACTGTGATGAAAATTCAAACTGAAAAGCCCATGGTAACAGTACCAGGCAAGTTGTCAAATTTCAGAACAGTAATGCAATTTGCAGCTCCATATGTACAATACTATTTTATCTTCATATGCCGACTCGAAATATATCCAATTTACTACAAAAATGTGTGAACTGTTCAAAATAGGCAGCATTTTCTAACTTTTGATCTGAATTCTATTATCACATATAAAAGTAGGAGTAATACATCAAAGTGACGCGATGTCCCTTTTGTGGGTTCTAATTAGCATCCTTTTCCACTGAACCGTGCAGGATGAATGCATGCAACACCCGGCCTCCAATCCGTTCATCGGTGTTTGAAAACACACGTCGTCTCTCCCAGGAAGCCATCCTGCTGGTCTAATTAATAACTTAACAGTCAGCTTTTCTCTTCATGCAGGGAATGAAGCATTAATCCTGTGATTACATTTCTTATTCATTTAGAAAATATATTTTTGGAAACAAAACAGGTTAAAATAAAAAAGGATTATATAAAAAAAACAATAAATGTGCAAACAAAAAAGATTAATGGGTAAAAATCTCATTCTGCTACGTCAAGCTGTCAATGTGTATTATTTCTCAGCGAGTAAGCACGCATGCATGTATAAATAAACAATTATGCCTTTTAGGAATATTTTTATTTTCTTTTAAAGCAAAGTACCACGTATAAGAAACACTGAATAGTGGGTAATTTTATTCATCCACACGTTTGTAACAGAGTGGAATTTTAACCTCACACCATTCATGTGAAGGGCCACTACCCAAAACGTTAGCCAGTCATGTATGTTTATGTTACACAGCAGTGTTCAATGTGAACAAGGCGATTTCTGTTGTGCTCTCACACCACTGGCAAAGCAACCCCTTGATGTTATTTGTAATGTATAGGTGTACTCACTTGAGTGCCATATTTATAAAACATACCAGTAAGGTGACAGAAAACAGCACTTAATGCAACACAATTTGAAGATGTATATCCCAAACACAATTGGTCTGGGCAGACTATTGGGTGTATCGACATGTGTTAATGCAGATTAATTCACTCCTCTGGAACAGAGTGCATATCCTTCAAGGTGAGCTATACTGATGAAGTTGTACATGAGAAGCAATCATTTTGACATTGGATAACCACAACAACGGTTGTTTTATTTTAAATAATTGAATTAACATATTAATGTGCATACCTTAAATACTGATAACTAAGGCCAGTGGTACTCCTAACATAAATGCAATAAGTGGTTCAAACACATTATAATGGGAAATGTTCTAAAAGACAAATCCCTCTATTTTCACCTTTCTAAAAAAATGTGCACAAGTGAATATGTTCCAGGTAGGTCAAACAATTTTAGTCATGAATTTTACGTCAATAACTTTTTTTCACAACTAACACATTTTACATATATTTTTTTTTAAATCGCAAAAGGAAAACTAAAATAATGTATTAGGTGTACTATAAACAAACATCAAATAATATGCAAACCTTGACTTATAGTCTGAGCAATTTGCAAGAATGAGGGGTCTCATACTACTGTTTACCCTACTATGCGCGTTTAAAATGGGATTTGCTTTAGGGAAAACAAGAGTGGACAGGAGAAGGCGGAGGTCATACCTTGCAGCCCTCACACGTGATGACTCCGTAATGAATCCCTGATGACTTGTCGCCACAGATCTTGCACGGGATCACCTCAATTTGTGCTGAAACACAGAGGCCCGCGTATTCACATGACGTACAAGTACAGGCTTTTTAAATCCTTCATATTAAGTTCACTTGCTTGCTTGCTTGCGCGCTTACGACCGTGCAAATCTTTCGGTCGTTTTTTAACCCACTTCCCGTGATCCAATCGAGCTGACATTTTGCAGACTCGTTGTGCGTGACAATTTATTTTCGTGAATTTTTTTTTCCAAAATTCTACACTTTTTAGGAAAAAATAAATTATATTTAATTACCAATTGCTTAATGGTGGCAGGCAATCATCTGACCCATAGGTGGCAGCCATCTCAAGCCAGAGGACGAGAGGACTCTCGCCGCCACGCATATAAAGGATTTATAGTGAAAAACTTTGTTTTTACGGGTTAATTTTTTTGTCAGTCCATTGTTGGATGAGGGCCCACACACGCCATGCCACCCATGGGGGTTATTTGATTGAACTGCGTAACTCTCGTCATCAGTGCTGGTTGGTGAAGACTACTATAGATTTTACTACACTGCCCTCTGCTACACCACAGAGCCCCACAAACAATAAAAGTGGTTGGGCATAGCGGTTACCGATCCACACACTATGCAGGCTCGACATTGCTTACCTTCTGACATTAAAATGTAATTGGGTGCATTCTCGGTAATTTGCTCAGTCTAAGCTCATGATCCCAACTAATTCACTCTTGAAAAAAATTATGTAGGCATTCACCTATTCTTCATGTCAGGCTGTATAATCAGTCACGTGAAACCTGACTTGAGAGCACAACACAAAAATACATCTTTCATATTTTACGTAATGGAATATTCAGTCATCAAGTGCCTCTTCTGCGGTTTAATTTACATGCACCACTAGATGGCGGTATTACAGCAAACCCGTTCATCACCAATGCCGACTTAACATTTTCAATTATACTCGACGTCGAAAACGAATCCGCTAACTAGAAGCATCACAACATGGCAAAATTCTGTAAAAAAAAAAAGAATCAGGACTTCCACAGGCTTAAAAACAAAAAGCTCAAAATGCAAAGTAAACGTCTCTGATCGATGTGACATTGCGAACAGGCACAGTGGGTGCCATATCGTGTCCGCGGGGTAATTAAATAAGTACCAATTCTGCCGTAATTCTGGTCAGGACGTCCCAAACACCAGCGGGTAGTATGTCCTATACCTGACTGCAAGCTTACATGGCATAAACCTGCATTTGCACAGCACAAAATGTAATTTTTTTCAGCTTGCCATAATTTTAGTTTAGTTTCTGCTCCCACATAGGTGGTCCTTCATGTGGAATTACATGTAAAAATAATAATTAAAATATTTAGAAAGAGGGCCACCGCCCAGGTGTATTTGACCTACATAGCTCTAAGTATATGCCTGCTGCTAAACGATGTCATTTATAACTGAACTGGACAAGCCAGTTGGGTAAGTGAGCCTTCTCTTAAAACAACTGGGACGTCCTCGATCTTGCCTCACGTTTCCATAAAATTAACAATCTGAAGGCTAAACTCCGTGAAATGATACTAATGTATTTTTTTAGCTTTTATATCTACTTAAGCTGGGTACGTTGCTTTATTTAAATAGTAATGTCAAGTTTCACCATTTCCCTTAAGCACATTAATAACACACAGATGAACATGCACACTGGTGTAAAAATGTATGCGAAACATACGAACTTCGTGACGTAAATATTATTCCAATACCCCAATACAATATTGGTAAAATTATAATACAGGAATGTTGCAAGAAGGCATTTTTTACTCCCTTTAAAATGTGTTTAACTGCTGCTATTTAAAAGCCATTGTCAACATCAAGTTCAACGAAGCGCCGTGACATTTATTAACAACGTGATACAATGTAATATATCCAGATTCAAATGCACTCACGTAATTTTGGTACGCCAGGGTACAGTTAATCTTAATCCGAAGCCACTTATCATCTCTGAAGGGTGTGGTTGACTTTGTGCCAAAGGCAGCAGGAATATACACGAGTATTGTCTCTTCCTTTGTTCGAGTTAACAGGATGTTTGTAATCCTATAGATTTCGTTTAAACATTAAGACCTTAAAACAATGTGCATCAGAAAAACCAATAATTGCAATTTTAAAATTAAAGCCACCTTATTTCGTTGATTGCCTTCACCATTAATGATACAGCCTAATTACTTACACCCACACACATTTTTTGGACTTTCAGAACTTTTAACGAGATACATTCTTAAGTTATATACTCTATGTCCGATTAACATGGTTGGCTACATACGATGGTGCAAAAGACGTTCATCGCTCATGCGCACATTACAGGCTTGCTCATCTCATGTCAGGTCTGACTTTATACATTTATCTCAACATTGATGTATTTCCCCATGTGACTTAATTTTTCAGCTGTACTTTCACAATGCAACAGGGTGCCTTTGAAGCCAAATGCTGCTCTGTTTTTATTCCAAGTATACATTATCAGTGTAATTACAGACAGAAATAGGAAGACGTAGATTCGAGAACACACACAAGTTACAGGACTTTACATCACTTCGTTCACTACAAGCGATGACGGGTGGTGGTGGAGAATAATGGGAGGTCCTAACCAAAAGGAACACTATCAAGAAGATGTCCACTGTGGAGCAGAAGCAATAAATCAGCGTATGTTGCAGGTGCACAACTTCCAAGGCATTCATCCAGCAGTGGATTTATCATGTTTGATGATAATATTGATGGAACCTTAGCAATGAATAACAGACCACATTGGTTAAATAATGTATATTATGCTCAATACGTTTCATCTTAATTTACCGCATAAGGCATACACGTCATATCTTACAGCCTTTCGTCAATCCACTGCGGGATGAAGGCATCCCCATGCTGTGGGGATTGTTTCACTATACTTTAGGCATGCTTCATCAGTGCAGGCTGATGACAGAGGCCCAGAACCGATTCCGATATCACTCCCCACTGATGCTAACCGTGGCCAGAAATCTAAATAAGTTGACCAGGGTCAGAGTATTACGTGTTAACCGATGCGATACTGCTCCACACCCAGAAGGCAAATAACACGTGAAATACCGTGTGCGATGCACTGATGTTTGTCATATGACCAAGCAATGCGGTTTGTAAAATACACGGTGGTTATGTGAAATATGTAACTTGTAGTAATCGTATTGACTGCTGTAGACATACGATGGGGTTATGCCAACTTAAAATCATGTATCTTTGTCAATGTTTGAAAGATGAAAACAAACTTAAATATAACATCATGCACGTATCATGTATTTTCGTCCTACCTTCAGGCTTAGTCAAATGGCACTCATTTGATAGCACTCTACTCTGTGGAATTTGCCCCAGGCATCCTTTAAAACCAAAGCACCAGGATGATAAAACATGACAAGACGGTGATATAACTTAGAGGCAAAACCCTGGCATGGACACTCCACAAACAAGCAATATGACATCACCCTTGGCCTACGTGCCACTTGGGCAAGCATTAAACTTGTGAACATGACATCATTCGGAATAGGTGGAGGTGCATCTTTCGACAATCACTTGCAATTAATCATTCGGAAGAATCTTAGGAGCAAAATTAGTGCATTTTTGCCATCGTTAAACAAATCCAGTCAATCCCACGATAATTTTTTTTTAGTTCATAATACACATGTAACAATGCCAATATAAATGTACTGTTCTGTACTGTTCGATAAAAATAGAACCAGAATTAAATGTACCAACCAAGCAGACTCAAGCGAGACAGGGTACAGAAGCAGAGTTGTGGTCAAGAGAGGATGATATAAATATCTAATACTGGTAGGAATCTCCTGGTTACACCAGCCCACAGGGGATGATTGTGTCCGTCCGTCGTGCAGGGAGGGGCTGGGTGAGGAGGGAGGGGCTGGGTGGGTAGGGTGGGCCTGGGTGGGGAGGGGCTGGATGGGGAGGGTGGGGAGGGGCTGGGTGGGGAGGGTGGGGAGGGGCTGGGTGGGGAGGGTGGGGAGGGGCTGGGTGGGGAGGGTGGGGAGGGGCTGGGTGGGGAGGGGCTGGGTGGGGAGGGGCTGGGTGGGGAGGGTGGGGCTGGGTGGGGGGTGGGGAGGGGCTGGTCACCCCGTGGTGCCCATTTAAAACTCAACGTTTAACCTACTCACGCCGGCTTGTGCCCGCCCTCACAGTCGGGCATATTTGCGGAATACACCACGCCGCCGTTGACCCTGGCCACTGACCGAGCAACCCAACGTTCCTACCAGCTCCCTCCGCAGGAATGTGTTTTCAAATGCACGACAGATACTAACCAATAGCAATATAAATCGGACTGTATCCAAAGGCCAATGAAGCACATGGGGGTAGAAAACATGTTTCAATATGACATGACTAAACAACACCCTACTAATTCCTTGCATAGCATTCCTCTCAAAGCAGTCATCCCAATCCATGTTAAACCTAAGCAGAACTAGTGACAATGTTTTAATGCGTTATTGCAATCAAATAACCTCAGGGCAGCAGAACAGACTATATAGGTGTATTTAAGAAATGATATAAAATGCATGGCTACATTATTTAACTTGCATAAAGGTTGATGTTCATGAATTGTTGCTTTAATTTCCACCACTCAAACAAGCAGAGTTGTGTAGTTGAAATAGTCACTCCTTGTTACAAATGTACCAATACAAATCTTAAATTAATCCATTTAAATTAGAAGTCGAGATGTCTATCAAAAAAATTAAACCATTTTGTGATCTTCACAGTTCAGTAAATCTATATGTCTTTAGGTCTAAGCGCCTGCCATTGAACTACTAGTTACAATTTATCTTCACCAACAGGCTGACCATCATGGTAAAGTATGGTCAAATAACCTGTATGACAAACATGGCCTTGGGAGGCCTTCATCCAGCAGTGGATTGCCAAAGAGCTGTAAAATGCAATACCAAAATTGACATACCATTTCTGTAACTAATGGGCCATGAGACTATTAAAAGAACTGCGAATTATCCAATTTGATGTTTTTAATTAAATCTAAAAAGGTGGC